GCCGCTCCTCCCGTGCACCAGATGAAGTTCCAAGCGCCGGCGCGCCCGGGCTTCGTGGACCTGACGGTTTTCGTCAAGAGCCCCGTCTTCGTGGGCGTCGACTGCGAGAGTACCACCAGATTTAGGGTCTGGAGGCACGACGAGCTCAAGGAGGACGATGATGCAGGGGATTGGTAGTAGCGTCACACACGCAACTGTCTATAATGTTGGTCGGCACGGACTGCTGCTGTTGACTGGTCGGTCGTGTTTGGGAGGAAGCTGAGAGCATTCCGTTCTGTTTTTGTGACGCCTACACGGAATGCGTCTGCATCAGTTGGACCACAGCTGTGTAGCGAATATAAGAACGTACCGAGTAGAAACCGGAACGGTTTTTTAGTATGAAGACAGCAGCAACAACCATATTAGTTAGGTTTGGGTGCAAGTGCTGTGGTGTCTTGGTAGTCTCCTGGGGCATTTGCTCCCAGATTCACCCGGCGGAGAGAAGAGAAGCCCTGATTTGTGTTGTCTCTCATGAAAGGTTTCGACATGTCAAACATGTGCGATGGACTGCTTCGGGAGATGACCGCTTCCACGGAAAAGGATAATAAATAATTATCAACCGGAAGACGGAGTCTGAAGGTCGTAAGCCGAAACCCCAACAAATCCGGTGGCGTCTCCAATAAATCCGGTGTCTCCAATAAATCCGGTGATGTCTCAGAAGATGCCATCCGTAGTGTAGACTATACCCCGGCGAAGAGAAGAGCAGTGATGCCGTTGTTAATACAACGCGGGCTCATCCCTCGATGCTGCGTGAGAAGTGGTTGCATCTCGTGTGGAAAGATTTTCCAGCGATTGCGTGGTGTTGTGTCGATGTTGCAGACCACTATCCGCGGTAAACACACCGACAAACCTGGCGCACATTCAAGACAAAGGCACGTTCGATTCACACTGACAAGAGTCGGGGTATGAGGCTTCGTGGGATCTCATGGCTTTTCGTCTCTCTTAAGTCTCTGTCGCCATGGACGTGCAGACAACGGCGTGAATCTAGGGGTGACAACGATAAGCTTGGGTTTGTCGTTCAATGATGAACTCATTGCGGCTGTAGTTGTTGTGGTCGTTGTTGTTGCTGCAGCTGCCGCAGCTCGATGGTTTCGACATCGAGAGAGAGAGAGAGAGAGAGAGAGAGAGAGAGAGAGAGAGAGAGAGAGAGAGAGAG